ACGGGGGCACTTACGTCAGTTGTGATATAACTTGTAAGAGACTTACTGAGTTTGAGAATCCTAAAATTGAGTCTCTATGGCTGTCGTTAAGACCCAAATGCTTACCTCGATACATTTCAATTATCCTCGTGGCTGTTATCTACCATACGACATCCTCTGGTGGATCCGAGAACTGGGATCTATATAACCACATACAAAGTAATGTAGACGCATTCCTTAGAAATCACCCCGATGCGCTGGTGTTAGTCACAGGTGATTTTAACCCAACTAGCACTGGTTTCGATGTTAACCGTGTTAAGAGGCTAACAGGTCTCTCGCAAATAATACATGTGACCACCAGAGATAACTCCATCCTAGATTGGTGTTTAACTAATATGAAAAAACCTATTTTTGAACCACTTAAATTGCCTCCTATTGGCCGTAGTGACCATAATACCATTCTTATCAAATCCTATTTAAATAAACCACCCAATCAAGTGAATAGTTCAGTGCTGAAAAGAGATCTTAGGGACAGTAATCTAGTAACTCTGGAAAGAATCGACCCTTTAATTCAGTAAAGGGCACTACCCCATGCCCATTTCTTAAGCGTCGAGAGTGGTGTGTAAAAGGAAGCCGATGCGATTTTGAACATCCGCGTGATGAAGAGAAACATTTGGTACCCTGTCCCTTTTTACAAAAGCGAGGCTATTGCCTTAAGGGTATTAACTATTAAGTGTGATTTTTCCCATAGTGCCAACCTTTCTCATAGCATACTGTCATCAAGGTCTGTTAACAACACTACTCCTCCGGTTTTTCACTACCATCGACCCCCTATGGTCTCGAAATTAATAACACACGGGATAGGTGTCAATCAGTGTCCTCAAAGTTACCCCCGGAGATTGGGTTTTCTCCAACCTCACCCCAAACCTCTAATGGAAATCCTTGTTCCACATTTACCCCCCTACGCCTTCCACGGTCACCCCTACTACAGAGCACCGTATGCCGAAACCCTGGTGTAGACCCTGTTGATGATAGCTTGATACAACCTATCACTGTTAGAATTACCTCTCGCGAAAAACGTTTTTCAGATAATACTAAGAATGATAACATAATTGTCAACAAACATAACTTGATTAAGATTCCCAAATCACCTGCGTTGAGATGTAAACAAAGACATACAATGCCAAATGTGCTTCTATTTAATGCGCGATCAATTTTCAAAAAGAAACCTGAACTTGTGGTTGTGATTGAGCAACATAAATCAGATATTATACTAGTGACCGAAACGTGGCTGACAGACGATGTGCCGGACCAATCAGTGAATATCACTGGTTTTAATCTAACAAGGAAGGATAGAACGATAGGAAGAGGTGGTGGCGTCGCAATCTATGTTAAAGAAACTATTCCGTTAAAAGTCCGGCCCGACCTATCTAACGAAGACTTCGAATGCCTCTGGATTGTTTTGCGGCCGAAATGGCTACCTCGATCGATATCAAGAATTGCGGTTGCATGCGTTTGTATTCCTCCATCTATAGATCAGGAAAACGTGAACAGGTTTTATGAGTACTTTTGTTATTGTTATGATATGTTGAAATCAGAAAGCCCTAATACGTCAATTATAGCTGCTGGTGATTTTAACCCTGCAAGTAATGGCTTTAGTACAAAGATCATCAATAGACAATGCCACTTGAAACAAGTCATCAAACTTTCTACCAGAAATTCGGCAATTCTTGACCTTATTTTGACGGACATTCATAAATTTTACCAAGCCCCATTTGTATTGGCCCCAATTGGTACCTCAGACCACTGTACAATTATATGGTCATCACAAGAACAAATGCAGCACAAGCAAAAGCCAAAACGGATAAATGTAAGACCACTGAAATCCTCGTCACTACAAGCCTTTGAGCAGTATATCAGTGAATATAACTGGTCACCCGTGTTGAATGCCTCTTGTATAAACGATAAAGTCAACAAGTTTTTAGAATTAACAACAAAAATGGTTGATGCATTCTTCCCTTTAAAGTCAGTCAAAATTCAAGTTGACGACAAACCTTTTATAAATGGAAGAATTAAACAATTGATACAGAAACGAGATAAGGCATACCAACTTGGAAGAGTCGATCAATCCAAGCAATTGCGGAACTTAATTGTTGCAGAGAATAGAAAGGCCAAGTGCGTATTCTATGAACAAAATATTAAACCCTTTCATAACCAAAACTAAAAGAAATGGTGGAAAAATGTAAAACGCATTGTTGGAAATAAAAGACAGAACTTTGACTTATCAGACCCTCTATCAGACGCCCCAATGAACGATAAACAAACTGCTGATTACATAAACAGTTTCTTTACGAGTCAAGATCCTTTACCACCAATTACGATTGAAAGTGTTGCAAGGAAATTGTCCAACATAAATGTCAATAAAGCACCTGGCCCTTTTGATCCAAATATGAAAGTGATAAAAACATTCGCTGATCACTTCGCCGTGCCATTAGCTAATATTTACAACCAGTCGTTTAGATGCAAATCTTTTCCTGAAATATGGAAAATTTCCAATATATGCAGCGTCCCGAAATCAAATCCATGTTCGTCAGTGGAAGAACTAAGACCAATTGCATTGACTAGCACTTTTTCAAAACTTCAGGAATCATATGCTGTTGAGTGGATTCTAAAAGATACTAATGACAAAATTAGTGAATCTCAATTTGGTGGCCTTGCTGGAACGTCTGCTGTCCTTGCATTAATTTTCCAACTACACAAGTGGTACCTAGCGATGGAGAATAATAACAAAATTGTTCGAATTACATTCCTCGATATCAGAAAAGCCTTTGACTTAATTGACCACAACCGACTTTTGCAAAACTTTATTGACGTTGATATACGCCCAGGTTTGATTGGATGGTTTGCATCGTATTTACAAGGACGATCACAGATAACTTCTCATCATGGCGTGAAATCCGAGCGAATGGAAACAAATGGGGGGGTGCCCCAGGGTAGCAAATTAGGTCCAATAGCTTTCATTATAAAAATCAACCAACTCCCATCGGTTACAAATTGGGAATCGTCCGAAACAACTAACCAAAATCGTACGGATGAGGGAGAAACAACAATGTTTATGGACGACACGACCTTATCTGAAGTGATACAAGGACACCGGGACACCGATTGGGAAAACTCAAGAAAATGTCAACAATGTAGTTCTGTTTGCAAAGCAAGAAAAAATGGAACTAAATGCGAAGAAATGCAGAGAAATGATTCTCGATTTCAGGAAAAATAAAACAACCATCCCGCCAATTAATATTGACGGCCAACCTATCGCTCGGGTAAAGTCATATAAATTACTTGGAATGTGGCTGGATGATGATATGAAGTGGACCACAAATACGGAATTTATTATCAAAAAAGCAGCTAAACGGCTCCATTTTTTAAAGATCCTTAAGAATTATGGCGCGTGTAAAGATGATTTAAAATCCTTTTATTGTGCTGTTATAAGGTCCACTCTCGAATATGGAGCGCAAGAGTGGTATGGAAACCTCACCCAAGACCAAAGCAACAACATCGAAAGAATTCAAAAATGGGCGCTCAGGATTATCTGCCCTGGAAAGGACTACAATGAAGCCCTAATAGAATGTAAACTGACACCACTTAAAGAACGAAGGAAGCATCTGTGTATTGACCTTATCAGAAATATGGTTCAATCCACCCATAAACTACATGGTTTGCTTCCTGATAAACATTCTAACATCAAAAAGAGAGAAACAAGAGCGAATAGTAATTTAATTTATAATTTTACTTGTAGAACGGAACGATTTAAAAGTAGTCCTTTGGTATATGCGATCGATAAATACAATGAAAGCATTAACTGAAAGATTTGATATAGGTTTATAACTGTTTTAGCATACTAGTGTTTCAGATTTTACTATATATATACTATTAATATAATAATTTTAGTACAATTGGCGTAAAAATCCTAATTCTAATATATGCCTTACCATAATTATATATACTACTTACATAATTCTAAAGAAAGTACTAATTCATAGTCTTAATTAATATATAAGAGTTTTGTATTTTACTCTTCTTAATCCTGTAAGCACATAATAATTTAGCTATATACTTTGCAATTGAAATGAGATTAATAAACCATTATTATTATATGTCAGTGGATTTCCGCCTACGACTGGGCCGATGTCTTATCCATTCCCGATTGCGAAGGAAAATATGCTACATTTGATGAATTAATTAGCTCTGCAGTTAATTACTTTTTCCCAATTAAGAAAACCAAAATCAGCAAGTCTGACAAACAGTGGATGACCCCTTCCTTGAAAGTTGCAATATCCAAACGTCAGAAGGCCTTTTGTAAATACGGGAAGACGTCGAAAGCCTATAAATTCTGGCGCAATAAAGTCCAACATGATGTCAAAACTGCGCGTAGTAAATATTTCTGGAAATCAGTGGAAAACTTAAAGAAGGTAATCCATCTAAGTGGTGGAGAGAAGTTAAGAGTTTAAGCGGTTTGACATCAGGTGCCACATGGTTCCAACAGTTATTAACTGATGACAACCCTACCGCCACCCATTTGGCAGAGTCATTTAACGAGTTCTTGGTTAATCACATCTCATTTCCCCCCACTTACACGTGCATGATACCAGTTCCATCCAACTTGACATACCCCATCAGTTTCTTGTCAATCCCGGCATTGTCTCCGCATCCCTTCGCCAAATTAAGACGAATAAATCCACGGGTCCGGACAGTATTCCCAATAAGCTGCTTAAAATGTTCGCTATCGAATTTGCTCCTGTTCTGACTGACATATATAACTCATCCATGCAACAAGGATATAACTCATCCATGCAACAAGGAATTTTTCCTCAACAACTAAAACGTGCTGTCGTTATTCCAATTCCGAAAGTGTCGCCTCCATCATCCCTTGAGAACGATCTAAGGCCCATCTCACTAACATCTCAAGTGTCAAAAGTCATGGAAGGGTTTACTTTAAAATCTCTGTTGTTGCTGACGAAATGGATTCAATGCAGTTTTCCCTCCCAAGCAAATCTACAACCCATGCCCTGGACTATCTGTTATATTCCATTCTTGCAGCTCTCGAGTCAGGTCAATGCTCTGTTAGAATATTCTTCGCAGACTTTAGAAAAGGATTTGATCTGGTCGACCACAACATTATAATCGACGAACTAAAACGACTCGATGTCCACCCTTCCATCGTTCGTTGGATTTATGATTTCCTTACCGATCGCGAACAATGCGTAAAAATTGATAATTATTATTCCTCATGGAAGAAAACTAATGGTGGTCTACCTCAAGGTACCAAACTTGGACCTCTTCTGTTTGCAATTCTTGTCAATCATCCCGCGGGGTTCCCCTAGCTTACTACCCACAGTGGTAAATTATATCTCCCAGTTTGCTTCAAAAAGAGGAATGGAGCTCAATCCCAAGAAATGTAAGGAAATGATCATTACTTTCTTGAAATACAACCACACTTGTTTTAGTCCTATTTACATCTCAGGAGTTCCCGTCGAATTAGTATCTTCATTTAAACTACTTGATGTCCACTTGTCTAACGATCTTACGTGGAATTTATATGCCGATTATATATTGAAAAAGGCAAATTCGCGATTATATTCCCTCCGCAAGTTACGTAAAGCTGGTCTGAAGCAATCTGATTTGGCAACAGTTTATTGCTCTTTTGTACGTTCACTTTTGGAATACGCGTCACCGTCGTGGGCTACGTTGTCATGCATCCACCTTGTCCAATGAAATTGAGTCCATTCAACGTCGTGCTCTTAAAATCATCTATCCTGACTTGTCATATGCCGATACGCTGGATACTACCGGATTTGATACATTAATTGATCGCAGAGGCGATGCCTGCAAGTCGTTCGTTCAGAAGTTAAAGGGTCACAAGTCAACCTTCCGCAACCCGATGGTAAACATGCATTTTTAAAGAAACACCGTACGAACCCGTCCATAACTATTGCCTGCGAAACAGCAATCCTCCTGCACCGCTTATATTTACTGAACGGTTTCGCAACTTTGTTACAATTAAGAATAATTCGTATTTTTACACTTATTGACCTATTTTTGAACTATAGTCTATTGAACATTATAGCATATGTATTATATCGTTGTCCCTCACCTAACCGCATTTAACAGGCTTTTTAAATGTAGATAATTGGCAACCTTTGATATAATTTTAACATTGTGACTCTATGTATATATTTTATCTAGTTGTTATATTTATAATCGTGTAATTCAGTTTGTACTGCGATACGATTTTATTAAACTAATAATAATAATAATAATAAACCTTTTGATATTCGATTAGTTTCACGCAACTTTTGTACTGTTTTTACGCGGGATATACATATATATTGTTGTTTGTGATGCGATATATTAGAGGGGTTAAGATACCCCGGTTTCGGTGTACATGTACGGGTAGCATGATTTTGGTTAGCAATATTTTCGTCGATGTCTGTACCTTTACTCGTAATTAAGGGACCGGTCATAAAGTAACTGCTAGGGTGGGCCGGAGTGATTTGGGATGGGCCATGGAAAATCTTTGGGCAGTTTCAATGGGCCACCAAATATTTTGTATGTCTACGGATGGGCCACCAAACAAAAACCCATGTCTACTTTCATCCAGGGGCGTAGGAAGCCAGGGGGGCCTCAGCGCCAACCATGGTGGCACCTTGTGGGAGTCGCCCCTTAACTTTTACAAGCTTCCCTGCTTTCATCACTTATTATGATAAATATAATAGCAAATAAGATTTTAAAATCAAACATATAATACAAATCTAACAAGCTGTACACTGCACATAGGGCAGCAGGGGCAAC